GGTGCTTAGTTGCTGGCTGGGGCTAAACCACGACAAGGATTAGTGAACTTTTTCCCCCCTGGATAATATAAGTGATCCTTTGTATGTGGGACTAAGATAAATATTAGAACTTAGGGTGGGTTACATACTAGTAGGTCAGTTTATGAATAGCTCCTATAAACATTGGTGTAATTTTATTTGAACAGCAGCAGTATTTCCTTAGAAGACTTCTGTGGGAATAATGATTTTCTGTGTAGCATCTACACCAAAAAACCCCCCCACTTCATAACTTATGTTGCCTTTATATCTTGTAACTGAAGGATGTCACGTCCATCCGTGTCCAAACGTTTTATGCAGCAAGAGATAGAAGTGTTGAAAAATGTAACTGTGTTCCATTTATTTCACATTTTAATTAGCAGAGAAGTTGTTTACTTGTCAGCTTCAATCTCCAGAATAATTTTTTATTAATGCTGTTTTCTGACAGGTACGAAACAAAGTCTATAGTCGAATATTGTCACTGCGTTCTCCAAATATTTCTGGGACCAGATCTCCGCAGGAACTTTTTAAAGCTTCAGGTTTGATGCAGGTATGAGATTTCAGCATAAATGGTCTAGAGCATTCCTCTGCTTCTTGAAGGAGTCCTGGAAGATCCTGGATTACTGATCTTACTCTTTTTCCCCCAGTGTTTAGATGGCAACTGCCAACTGCTGTACACTCAGTCTGGTCCCTGAACTTTCACATGCATGTCTTTAGAATTGCTGTGGTTTGTGTTTACAGTTGGTGGATAGAGCCAGGCTCTGGTGTGATTATGACAAGCATTTCAACAAGAATGGAAAACACATAGCAGACTTACTTCTGCTTTTAGTCCGTGATCTTGAGTGCACATTTTGGAACTTCTTTCACTACATGTGCAAATAACTTTCCCTGCTACCTTTTCACGATGGGGCTTTCAACAAAACCCATGTGAAGATTAAGCAGGAAATATGGTGCTAAGAGAATTGGTAGTATTGGTATAAAAGGAAAATGTAAAAATGTCTGTATTACCCTAAACTTAGATAAATTTTTAAAATGCAGTAAGTCTCTTTATGCCACAATTATTTTCTATGAGGGAGGAAGCTTTACAAATTACTTTTAAAATATTGGAAGTGCTTTGTTTTTTCTTTCTCTCCCTAATGATAAAAGCTATCATGTTGTGTATTTAAGTAGAGAAAATATCATCTGTAATGAAATGTCTTCATCACACTACAGACAGATATTGAGCCCTTCTGCATACAGCTCTGTCTGTTCTTTGGTTTAAAATACAATAGTGGATCAAAGGCTCAAGGATAATGTTAGTTTACAAATTCCTGTACCACTAACAAGTGAGAGAACAATTTATAAAATTTTTTACCTTAGAACTCTAATGGATTTCAGAGTTTTCCCCTTTTTCTCAGTACCTCTTTACCTGCCTTCTTTTTGTTTCTTTCATTTCTGTTTTTCTTCTCCTTTTTTATTCTGAGGCTGCTAGTTTTCTGCTGCCCTGTATTTAAAACAGTACTGGCATCAATCAGGGATGTGATTTCAGTGAAATATAGGTAGCACAGTCAAAGAATCAAAGAGAAAATAAACTTTACTGGGAGGAATTAAATTTGGACTTTTGTACCATTCTTACAGTCATGTGCCCATACTATCATCTGACAGATAAATACTGACAAGACATTTAATTTGCAATAGTAGTATCTTTGATATAGTGACTTCCATTGTATCTTTTTTTTATCCTTCAGAAATGGGTGAATAGAGAATTATCTAACTTTGACTACCTTATTCAGCTGAACACAATGGCAGGACGAACTTACAATGACCTTGCTCAATATCCTGTGGTAAGGAAAATAATTTTTAAATTTTTGCCAAAGGTATGTATTTTTTTTTTTCTGTTTTGAAAGATGGGTCTTTAATCTCAATTGGATCTTTGACTCTTTTTTAGTTCCCCTGGATTTTACGAGATTATACTTCGGAAGAACTGGACCTGAATAATCCTGCAGTTTTTCGGGATCTGTCCAAACCCATAGGGGTGGTAAATGAAAAGAACGCTAAGGCTGTGAAAGAAAAGTATGCATTTGAACACTCAGTTATATTTCTCTGTCTTTTCAGAGCCTGGAGGCTAATAACACATTTTAAAAATGACAGTGAAATTTTTAAAAGCTAGCTTTATAACACCACAGGTGCGTTTGTAAAGGTTGTTAATTTGTTGTTGCTGCTGCATTCAGATTAGTGAGCTTATACGGCACTGAAACAACACAACTTACTGTTGTAAATTTTCAATTGTTTCTCAGATGTGGAGATGAAAAACTGAAAGGATGTAGAAACATTTAATTTAATGGCCTAGCAGCTTGAAGAGACGTACGGTGTCCCATGTCTGCTTCAAGATAAGGCATGTGAAATCAACCTGATGAGTTGAGCTGCCTGTACTGAGAGGTAGCATTGATCCTAAATCTGTGCTTCCCGCTCTTCTTTTCAAGCATAGATTATTATCTTTGAAATAAAATGTAACTTGGTGACTTCCAGCAACATCTCTGTAGGTAGGGATGACAAGTACTTACACCCACATGTCAGTGTAGTGATTCTTCTTTTTTTGCTAGTGTGGGGAGTGAGTGTGCTATCATAGCAGATTGTGCTTGTCAGGCTTCTTGCAAAACCAGCTTTCTTCTGAAAACTAGGAACATGGAGAGTCTTCTTTGAATGATTAGGCTCTATCCCTGACACTAATGAAATTGGTTCTCTAGCAGTATGTTTAAATATAATTTCTCTTACTAACCTTGTGACACTGAGGAATTTATCAGCCAGATGGTGGCATGGTACTGTAGAGTGAGTTTTCCAGTAGAAAAGGAAATGGGCATGAGTATTAAATAAATCTCTTTCCTGCATCCTGACACAGTCACACACACACACTCTTTTTTTAAAATTCTTTTTCTTTAAATCTTGGAGGAAACTGTCACAAGTCCCTTCAATAATAAATGTTCAGCTTAGTGATGTGGGGGTTTTTGTCTGTTGTGTAAAATCATGCTAAATCAGGCCTGTCTTGCCCTTTATCCAGTTTCTGACAGCTGATAGCAAATGCCTAGGGAAGAGTATAAAAACAGGTATGCAAAGACTTTATCCGGTGTACATTTCTATCTTTCAGCAGTCTTTTGCTTAGGGACTTTCCAAGTCAGAATTGGAATCCTCCTGTTTAATAGAACTCAATGTATTTTCCTCTTACAGATTGCTGTGATCATTTCTTTTGAATCCTTGCCTCTGATAAGTATAATCCACATGTAAATCAGCTGTAGTGCTCCGTTGTATTTATAAAGATTTATTTTTTTTAGATATGAGAATTTTGAGGATCCCCTTGGGATAATTGACAAATTTCACTATGGGACACATTACTCAAATGCTGCTGGTGTCATGCATTATCTCATTCGGGTAGAACCTTTCACAACACTTCATATCCAACTTCAAAGTGGCAGGTATGCTGTGAGCAAATAAGTATTTTTACTTTATTTTTCTTCCTTATCATTTTACTGGGGGAATGATCAAAGTCTAACCTGAGTTTTCTGATCCACAGATTCGACTGTGCTGACAGGCAGTTCCACTCTATTCCTGCTACCTGGCAGGCGCTCATGGACAACCCCAATGATGTCAAGGAACTTATCCCAGAGTTCTTCTACTTCCCAGAGTTCCTGGAGAATCAAAATGGTAAACTGACTGCTGAGAATATTCTCATAGAAAACTGTTCTTGTATTCTTCAGAAAAGAGTTGTTACAACAATTTGTGAATGCCATGGAATACTTCTTACTTAAGCTTTATAGTGTACTTGTAGAAATTACTTTAATCATCATGCTGGCTTCAGACTGTTTAATGAAGACACCAGTTGTGTTAAGCAGCAGCCTAAACATTGTTTAAAATTCAGACTGGGGGCTTAAGAGGCTTAAAAATAGTGTTGTTTACCTAATATAAAATACCAGAGATGCTCATTTGGATGTTTGAAGAAGTTAGCAATAGTTAATACTTAGTTAGCAAAAGTTAATACAGTTTAATCAGTATTCTTTTTACTAGGTTCATTGGGTGATAAGAGTTTGGGCATCTTCAAACATGTGAGGTCTTCTATTTATTCTAGGCAACCAGCATATTTTCTGTGTGTTACCTTCCAATGCAGTGTTAAGTCACCTATTTGAGAGCCATGTAAGATTGCAATACCCATCAGAAGAAGGAAAAATAAAAGAAGCTGTTTCACTCCTTTGTAATGCTGATTGAAAAGACAGCATTCTGCATTCTGATAGGAGACTCCTAGCCATTTTTTAATTCACATTTATTGCATGGGGAATTGTTTGTCTACCTATTAGACAATTTAAAAATGGAGTTGTATGTTTGTGCTGTTGCTAATTTAGTCTGCTAGCTACAATCTACTAGAGTTCTAAGTTATAAAAATTGGAAACAACCAAGTCATGCTTTCAAAAATCATTTAAGCATTTAGAGTTGTTCTAATGAAAGCTGGTGGGGTTTAAGACTTCTTGAAAGCCTTGATTCAACAGTCATTTAAAACTATAAGTAACTTCATTCTTATGAATACCCTCATTGGAATGTTTTGGACTCTTAATCCTGGTAAAACAAAGCAAATGCAGATATGTTTACAGATAGGTGTGTAAATGATTAATGCTACTTTTAGGGTTGGGACTTCAGCTTTGAAGTCATTTAGGTGCTTTAGACAATTGTTATCCTGTATCATTGTCCTGGTTTCGGCTGGGATAGGGTTAATTTTCTTCCTAGCAGCAGGCATAGTGCTGTGTTTTGGATTTAGTAGGAGAAGAATGTTGATAACATGCTGATGTTTTTAGTTGTTGCTGAGTACTGCTTATGCTAGTCAAGGACTTTTTCAGCTTCCCATGCTCTGCCAGGTGCACAAGAAACTGGGAGGGGGCACAGCCAGAATAGTTGATCCAAACTGACCAAAGGGCTATTCCATACCATATGACGTCATGCTCAGTATATAAACTGGGGGGGGTGGCCAGGGAGCAGCGATCACTGCTCGGGAACTGTCTGGGTATCGGTCGGCGGGTGGTGAGCAATTGCATTGTGCATCACTTGCTTCGTGTATCATTATTATTATTATCATTATTATACTGTTACTATTAGCATTACTATTTTACTTTATTTCAATTATTAAACTGTTCTTATCTCAACCCAGGAGTGTTTCTCACTCTTACTCCTCCAATTCTCTCCCCCATCCCATTGGGGTAGGGGGAGTGAGCGAGCAGCTGCGTGGTGCTTAGTTGCTGGCTGGGGCTAAACCACGACAATCATTTAATATTTTAAACACTTGGAGCAGAACTTAGCCTCCTATGTCAGTGGTAGGGTTATTGCAGATTTACATTAAGAATTTTTCAGTATCCTTCCCTTGCATTGAGAAAAGAATGCTTTTTAGTCTTTATTGAGAAATCAAGATATTTGAAATATTTTTTAATAACTCTTAAAATTCTCCAAATTATTTACTAGGTTTTAACTTAGGTCAGCTTCAGATATCCAAAGAGGTGGTAAATGATGTTGTTCTCCCCAAATGGGCCCACTCCCCAGAAGACTTCATTTATAAACACAGGAAGGCTCTGGTAAGATGATGTTTATATGTGTGAAGTAATGATAAAGAAAGTACACCTACACATTGTCACTGTGGCTTAAGTGTAAAATACTGGGACTACATTCGAACTAGAGTTGTGGTTGCATTTGACATTACAAGTACCATTAGAACTTTCAGTTAAAAGCATTGCACATGTCGATAAAATGCTCAAAAGAAAAAAGGAAAGAGCCTGAAGGTACTAATCATTTGGGAGTTTGCTGCCCTGGGAGGTAAAATGCAGAATTGGGTGGGCTTAAGTGATAAGGATTCCCTTGCTTTTTATAGATTATTCTATATGGTACTAGGGAACTAGCAGCTTGCCTTCCCTCGCACAATTGCGTTTCAATAATCTAGATGTGCTGCTTCGCTGTATTAATTTATCCCTCTTATCTGGCAGTTACTGCCCTTAACACATATGGATATTATTATGCTTCTGCCCTATACATTGGTGCATACCTGGTTCATGGATACTCATAGTTTAGGAATTAAATCTCTTTCACAGAAAATAGTAAATACTTCAAGAAGGGAGCAGTACTTCTCTTATTCTTACAAGAGCATTTTTTCCTTCTAGGAATCTGAATATGTTTCTGCTCATCTTCATGAATGGATAGATTTGATTTTTGGCTACAAGCAGAGGGGACCAGCTTCAGTGGAGGCGCTCAATGTGTTCTATTATTGTACTTATGAAGGTACCAAGCAGTATGCTCTCTTGTCATTGTCATCAGACTTGTGGGTTTTCAGTATTAGACAGAAAACACTTGATTTGTGAGCATGCCATACAGTAGCATATGGTAAGACAACAGAATTAGAGATGAAATATGGCAGCATAACTTGTAATTTATAATCAAATAACCAGAATATTTGATGCTTTGATCAGAAGTTGTGAACCTGAAATGTTAATCACGTTTTTTTTTTAAAGGGGGGCTGTTCCAGTTGCTTGTATTTTGTTTCTAAAAGTGCTTGGGGGTTTTTGTAAGTTTCTCATTTGCTGGCTTAAAAGCATTTGTGGGAAGAGGTTTCTTGTGGTTTAGGAGTCAAGGCAAGTTGCTTAAGAACAACAAATATTGAAGACACATGTTAGCCTGTTAATTCCAAAGATGAATTTTGGGTGGTTTTTGTGTGCAAATTACTGCATGCATGAAGTATATTAAATTAATTTGATAAGACAAAAGCCTGCAATTCTTGCACTTATAGGTACACTTAGAATTCCATGTGCAGAATGGAGTTTTCAGATAGTATTTTATATGGAGGCATTGTTTGGAGGCTTGCTGGGGTAAAGGGTGATAATGCTACAATTAATTAAAGTTTTGCAACACTTGTTGATCATATCTGTTCTCAATAAGTTGTTTGGATTATGTTCTTTTTCCTGTTTTTCTACCCTTCATTGTTCTGGTTGTGATCCAGGGGCTGTGGATTTGGATGCTTTAATGGATGAGAAAGAAAGGAAAGCTTTAGAAGGGATGATAAACAATTTTGGGCAAACTCCTTGCCAGCTGTTAAAGGTAATGCTCTTTGTTCCCTCTTAATCAGGCCTTTGCGGTTAAATCCAACTGAGTTACAAAGGACTTCTGAAAAAATGAAAAGATAATGGTTTGTAAGATAGTGGTTTGTAATTTTAGGAATGTTAAGTCTTTGCCACATTACCATTTGTAAAGGTCACACTGATGGAAATTTAGCATACCATTTTCAAAAGAAATTAATTAAAGAAGGGAAATTAGGTGCTTAAGAGTCTGTTTTCCCATTGATTGCCAGTAAGATTTTGAGTATCTTATGTGACTTGAACAAATTGATAAATTTGTCTAATTTTTGATATTCCTTCAAATACTGTCTCCTAGGAGCCCCATCCCCAAAGGCTGTCAGCAGAAGAGGTAGTGCAAAGACTAACTAAAAGTGATACCTCTACTCTGAATCTCTTCCAACACCTCACTGAACTGAAGTCATTCTTCATAGAGGTAGATGTGTTACTTGAAATTGTTTAAGGTCTAATCTGAAACTTCTGATGTACTTGAAACAAAAGGGTACAACCTAGCTGAAAATAAACTTGCTTCCTATTTAAAGAAAATATTGTAAAATGCAGTGTGTATAAAATGAGCTCTGTCTTTAGTTAGCCTCATAGAGGTTGAATCCCATACACTTGTATCTGCTGGACGCTTGTGTGGGTGTTGTTTGAATACTAAGTTAGCCACCACACCAAGAAAGCCTAAGAACATCACTGGTGATATTTGAGGACTTGCTGAACTTGGTAGCTAAACTCACTGTTTCAGGACAGAGCCAGTGTTTGCGACAAAGCATACCTGTATGAACTGAATATGTGTGTACCAGTGCCTTAGAGTACTGTACAGCTCTGACATTTATTCCAGAGGCTTTGGGTCTTACTCTTTACAGGTTCTAGATTTGTTCTTTAGCTCTTGGATATAATCAGACCAAAACCATGTCCTTTCTCTTAGGGAATCAGTGATGGTGTGCCCATTGTCAAAGCTGTTGTCCCCAGGAATCAATCACGTTCCTTTATTTCTCAGGGAAGCCCAGAGATCTTGGTGAGTTGCACGCGTCAATACTATTCTTAGACTGCAGACAGTGAAATAGGTGTATTTTTTTTTTTCATACAGCTTGTAGAGAAACACTTCTTAACTGTTCCTGTTGAAAGGAACTCATTTGAACTATAATGACTGTCAGCTATAAGTTAAATATTTGTCTTCTGAAGAGAAGCCAGGCTGATTTGTTGAATGGCATTTAAGAGCTGATAAAGCATGAGTATAAGTTGTAGTGAGGTGTATTGTAAGTTGCCCACTTGATCCACTTCCATGGTAGCAATCAATTTCCTAATGCAATGCAGCCCAGCTTTAAAATGACAGGACTGAATTATTAATGGCATCATTATGTTTATCGTTACTTTCCTATCCCTTATGTTAAACTATACTGTATGTGGTGTATACACACTCCAAAGGCCTGCACTCTTCCTAAAATTAACTTTTGCACTAATACAGGTGCTGGTACTATGGCAGATGGCCAAATGATGAGAGGCGGACAGTGTTTTTGTATTTACATCTGTATATATGGTCTGCATACTGGCCCCTGTACAATAATACCTATGTTTTGCAGGAAATAATATTCTTTTCCAGTATTCCTATTTTGTAGGTCAAACTTATTGTCCTGGTTTAATGTGGTATGTGCATATGTCATTTGGAATTTGGGCATATCTAAAATCTGATGAAAATAACCTCAAATATTTAGATTCCTTTCTTTCTCAGAAATAGAACTGTAGTACAATTTTTTTAAAAATTCCTGTGTTAATATGTTAACTATTAATGATTACTATTTCAAAGAAGAGACAAAGAAGCTCAAACTAAATGACTGAACTGTAATGAAATGTTTGAGAGCAGTTGGTTGGCTGTGGTTTTTGTGTTTTATCTCCTCCCTGCCCCGGCCCCCCCATTCAACTTCTCTGACCTATGTAGAACATACACTATTCTAACATGGTAATATGTACCACTTGTGGATTAGGTCACCTGAGCTGGATTTTTTTTTTTTTAATTTGTGCGGGGAGGGGGGTGTGTGTGGTTTTGTTTTTTGTTTTTTGTTTTTTTTTTTTCTTTGTGGTAAATTCTCAAGAAGCCTATGCTGGATTTTATGCAAGCTCCATTACCGTCAAAGGCAAGCAGAAAATATGCCTCTGGGTTTCACTGATTCTTCTATCAAACTTTTTTAGGTAACAGCAAGTCTGAACTGCATTATTGGAACTCATGGTTGGCTACCTTATGATAAAAACATCTCCAACTATTTTACATTCATCAGAGATACTACAGTGACAAATCCCAAGTAAGCAAATGATGAGGAGAGGTACAGATGAATGCATCTACAGTAATAAAATACAGTAATTGTTCAACAATCAGTGGATTGTACTGGTTTTATTGGCTGAGTTTTCACCTAAGAATGCATCTTCTGATGCTCAGTAATATCTCTAATCTATAATACTGTTCTAGTAAAGAGTTATGTAAGTGGCATTTCACGATTCTTTATTCTTAGAGCTACTTCTAATTTTTTTTCTAATTATCAATCATAAAAACTCATCTTGGAATCTGAAATGGGCAGTCTTCATACTTACACTATAGTGCGGGTATATGTGGTGGTTTTGTTTCTTTTGGTTTTTAGAAGATTCCTTTTTTTCTTTAATGCTACAATACTTAGTAGGGACATAAGTTACCCATACAGAACCAAATTGCATAAAAGACTGAAAAGAACTAAGGTGAACTCTTGCTTCCACTTGCCGATGGCAGTGAGTTTTGCCATGGATATCAGAGGGCCAGAATTTCATCTTGGTTTTGTTTTGGTTTGGTGGTTTTTTGTTGTTTTTTTTTTTTATATAGCCTCTTCTATAGACCTCTTCTTACTAATTTTTAAGGATATAGGAAGTGCAAAATACATTGATTTGAACTAAGATTACTCTTAACTGCTCATCATTTGCCTACAGAACACAACGCAACCTGAGTGGTCCTTTTGCACCGGGGCTGGAGATCACCTCTAAGTTGTTTGCAATATCCCATGATGCAAAACTACTCTTTAGTGGAGGACACTGGGACAATAGCATCAGAGTGACATCTCTTACAAAAGGCAAGCTGATTGGACAGCACATCAGGCACATGGGTTAGTAACTCTTTATATTGTGAAATGAAAAGTTTTATGTATTGTACCTTGATGTTTGGTCTTTTGGGAAAGAACTATAGCCAGTGCGCTTGGACGGACAAGCATAGCAGTTAAAAAGGAATGGCAGCATAAGAACAGAAGAATACTTGAACTGTGATTGTACATAAATACTTGAGCATGGCTTTTTAGTCATTGTAGTGATGGTTTAATGTAGTTTCAAAATCAGGCTTGACTGCTGCTTTTAGGTAGCAAAGCTGATTAAGCCAGGTTGGTACATCTGGCTGTACAGCGACTTCATTGTTTAATACGGTCTCATCAGCCCTTATCACAATGGAACATTTCATGCTGACTGCAAATCAGGATACACTGTTGACATATTGCATGCACATTATTGCTCTGTTGGAAATCAGTCTTAAATATCTATGTGATAACTTGCTGCTTTCTTTCTTTTATCTAGATATTGTTACCTGCTTGGCAATAGACTACTGTGGAATTCATTTAATTTCAGGCTCCAGAGATACTACCTGCATGATATGGCAAATAGTTCATCAGGTAGGTTATTTAGGTATACTCTGAGAAGCAGTTTCTGAATGCTTGTTTGTGCTTCTCTGTTTTGCTATGATGGCTTATTGATTTCCTTTCTTTCAGGTTTGCAGAGAAGACAGTCCACTAAAATTGATTAGCTTAGTAATTTTGCCAGTCCTGTTGTCTTCTGTGTTTGAAATATTCACTCTACACATTAGTTACTATATAGCTGAGGTACAGTATTTTACAGGCTCTTAGAGATTTCGTAGGTTATTTTCAGGACAGACAAATATTATCCCCCATTGTACAGATAAAAGAATGGAAGAAGAGAGGCACTGCTTGAATCTACTGGAATTAGTCAGAACAATGTTTTTAGCTGAGGATTTTTACATTTCTAGGCTGCTGTTCACTCCAGTAGTTGCATTTTAGCATTGCGTTTCCTCTGTGGGAAGTACTGATGACTACACTAGGAGTTAGCAAAGACAGCACTATTCTGTTACCTGGACTTAGCTGGCATTTTAGACTTCTTTAATACTATTAAATACTATTAATACTATTTCCTTTGCATATCATACTACTGGTAGTCACTGAGAAGATTATTTCCTTACTTTTCCTTAGAAAATGGGACAGAATTGCTGTAATTTTAAGCAAAATAACTTTCAGCTTCTTTAAGTTTGGCTGTGAAGATAGTGCTTAATTCCAGGGTAAACTGTAAGAACTGAACAAGCCGAGATATGCAGGTGAAGAAAAAGTGGGTGGGTGGGTGAAGAACTCCTGTTAGGACTGCTCACTGTGGTCCCTGCACACCTGGCTGTCTGAAGGGATAGAAGCAAGTCAGCTAAGTAACTCTCTCTTTCACATCCACATAGTAACTGTATGTTCATTCGTTCTTGTGGTTTCAGTAAATAGGGCTGCTGACATAAAAGGCAGTAAATTGAAATTGGAATGGGTGAGTTATGCCTTTGGTTTTGGCCTATGTCAAATATACATCTTACACAACTGATACTGAAGATACCAGAAATTTATTTTTTGTTTGTCCTTCAGCTGCAAGAGAATGTGTCATTGCACTTTTTGTTACTCTCAGGGAGGAGTGCCTGTAGGCCTGGCACCTAAGCCATTACAGATCCTTTATGGGCATACTGATGAAGTTTTGAGTGTTGGCATCAGCACTGAACTGGATATGGCAGTGTCAGGATCCAGGGTAAGCATCCTCATACTTTTCCCTTCTTTGTCTCTTCTCTACTCAAACCATAGAGCATGTTTGAAGTTGGTTAAGAATAATACAAAAAAGGTGACTATTTCACGATTTTTTTTCTTCAGCCTTACTCATCAAGAAGATACGTGCCATCTCCCTTGCTGCCTGCTTAAATCAGGCGGTCTCAAACTGCTCTGCACAGCATAGGCCTCAGCTACCATGTTGTGTTATTCTGCATGAGCTTTAATGTGTGTGGACTTATTTGGAGATCTTAAGCTTCTCATAGAAACAATTCTGTGACAGTTTCTTCCCTGCTTCCTTAACCTTGAAGGTTCTGTGCAGCTTACTCGTGCTCTACCTTGCTGTATTGCGCTGGCAGGCTTCTGAACTCTGACTCTGTACTGCCCATAATGACTACTCATAAATGTGACCTATGAAATGGCTGATTGGCTGCCTATCCTTTCCCTCTTGCCCTGTTTGCATTTGTTTTTTTTTAATATGCATATAGTATATGGTCTTGAGGGGAAGGCTTCTTTGTGTAGAGTTCCTAATGCTTAGGAGTCTTGATCTCCAATTAAGGATTTAAGTGCTTTCAAAATATTCCCTCTATATTTAAATACTCTTCCTGTGTGTTGTGGTAACTTACCTGCTGAGTAACAACTTACCTAAATTTGGTCACTGCAGGATGGGACTGTTATTGTCCGTACTATTCGGAAAGGTCAGTACGTGAGGACTTTGCGACCACCTTGTGAGAGTTCTCTCCTGCTGACTGTTCCCAATCTGGCTGTGTCCTGGGAAGGCCATATAGTTGTCCACAGCAGCATAGAAGGGAAGACTACTCTTAAGGTACTTAGGTTCACGGAATATCTCCATTTCTTTTGCTGAAGACTTTAATCATAAATGCACTTAACTTTATCCTTATTTCCCAAAGTAGTGAGGCTTTTTGAGTATGCTGTGTGTGGTGTGTGTTTCCTTTTTTTTTTTTAATTTTGCTAGCCAATTTGAGTGAAATTTGATTAAAAGATAAATTACAGACATACTGTGCTCCTGTAAGTTTCATGAAAATCTCCAAACACCTGCAAGGAAGATGCCCAAGCATGTGCTAATGAATCTTCCTGGGAGAGCTGCTTTGAAATGGAAAACTAGGGGGAAACAAGTTCTACTGTGTACAGAGACAAAGGCTTATAAAGGGAGCAGCAAGTTCTGGGTGCAAGATGCCCAGTGACTACACTGATGTTTTTTAGTTTTGGATTGGAGAGATAGCTATAAGGTTCACAGTGTAGCTTATTCGGTCTAATGAGTAGCTGCATAGTTGCTTTAATAAGGGTAGAGCTGTTATGATTTCTATGAGTATGGGAAATTTCTTGGAAGACAAATTTATTGGATGTAGGCATGCTAGCTACTCTGCGAAGATGGGGAGAGGAGAGACCAACGTATTGTCAGGCTGGAAGAACTTAAGATGGTCGTCTTATCTGTGTCTTTAATCTGTCAAGAATTCTTTGCCTTGTCCAGAAAATGCTTCTAGATCTAGTGGAAGTATACCCATTTCCTTCTGCTTTTCAATTTGGGGGTGGGGGGGGGGTGGCAGCACAGCTGAAGATAAGAATGCTCTCTTCCTTTCTTCTTCCTTGACAAAAACCCTTATAAAATAGGGACCTGTCCATTAAATCCATGGAAGCTTCCAGAAAATTTGGTATTGATTAGAAGGGTAGGTAAGATGTTACCATGTTACATTAAGAAGTAACGAGGAATAACTTCAAAAATTTCCATACAGGACCTGGTATACATACACATTGCATATAGGCTTGGTACTCTTGTATTGTTCAACAAGGAACTGTTGTCAGCAATATTATCTGTGAGTTATTGCCCAAGTTAGCTCCTGTTAGTGGGCCAAAGATATGAATAATACACTTTTAATCCAGTCAGTCCTTTGACAGATTTATTTTTGATCTATTCAGGATAAGAATGCATTACATCTGTATTCTGTCAATGGAAAATATCTGGGTTCTGAGACTCTGAAGGAGGAAGTGTCAGATATGTGTGTGACTGGTGAATATATCGTGATGGGCAGCTTACAGGGATTTCTTTCCATACGGGATCTCTACAGGTAATGTACCACCATCAGCAGTTTATTATCGAGATGCAAATATAAAGGCTTACTGAGAAATGGCTGTGTAACGTGGACTTTGCTTGGTGCTGTAGGTGGTAGCCATTGCTTTTTTCTGTGTTCCTGAAAAAACTCTTTTAGGGGGGAAACTAAGATAGGGAGAAAAGAAAAATGAGAGGTTGTACCAGACCCATTTCTTCTCAGGCATTTATCCCAATTATACACCTAGAACTGACAGAATTTAGGAAGAGCTGTGTCTGACATCTGCAAGCTGTGATTGTCCCCATGTCTGATTAGTCACTGGGAGCTCAGCAGCTCAAGCCTCATGTACTTCTGCACTGAGTTTTAAACTCCGCTTACTGCTACGCTCTGTAGAGCTCCATTGCTCCTCAGAATGGGAGTGATCTTTGTCACTTAGGCAGTTGTGGGACTAATGTTACTGTTCTTCAGTGAAAATGTCTTAGTTTACTGGCTTACCCATCCATGCCTTTTCTTGTTATTGGAGCTCTATTCTGGGGTACAATTAGATCATTCCTTAGGAGTTTACAATAATTGAAATTGCACACTGGATCCTTGAGAAACTGTGTTTTATTGTGCATCCTGTGGACAGCAATTTCAACTGCGGTGTGATACTTTGCAGTATGTGCAAACAGATACATGATGTGCTTTCTCTATGTGTTTTTTGTTCATTTCAGCCTGAGTCTGAGCATCTCCCCCTTAGCCATGCGACTGCCAATTCATTGCATTTCTGTCACCAAAGAGTATAGCCACATCCTTGTTGGCTTGGAGGACGGCAAGTTGATTATCGTTGGTGTTGGCAAGCCAGCAGAGGTAAAACCCACCATCAAGAACTTTTTCTACCGAACAGTGGGAAGTTCACTTATTTCTGCTTTCCAGTTGAGCAAGAGGTCTCCTCTATGGCAGGGTAAATTTAAAAGCAAGTTTCAGTTTTCAGTGGGAAAGAAATAACTTTTGAGACTGCTCTACTGAAATTTCTCATTAAGAATCAAAGGTATATAGGGATCGCAGATGGGAAGCTCAGCTGGACTAACTTCCAGACTTTATCACTCACATCTGAATAAGCAAAGTCACGGTAGCTAACCTTTTCTGAACGTGATAGTTTGTCAGCCACTTCTTGATGAAATAATTTTCCAGAAGAAAACTGGAAATGAGAGAGCAAGCTACTTCCTTTTTTTTTTTAATGGTTTCTGTCAGATATCTTTTAATATGCCTTGACTGACACTGGGGGGAAAAAACATTACTACTTTCTGTTAAGAGTCTCTAATTGCAATGCACAAAGAATCACTTGTGTAGGTTCCCAGTATGCTCTGTGCTCCATATGGTGAATACAAACTTGTTGGTACTGCATATGCAATATCAAATACAGAGCATCCATCTGTCAAATAGCTATGCCCAATTTTTCTTGTGCAAAACATAGGTTTTGCTTTAAGTACTTCTTGTCATGACTTTCAAAGTATTTGAGTTAGCTTAAACCTGCTTCTCTTTATAACCCAATCTCTGTTGTGCTGCAGTGTATTTATTTGAAAATGTGATCATCACTTTTGCATGACCTTTAGTACATGCCAGAAAATTGTGTCTTCATTTACTTTTATATTTTAATTGTGAAAACAGAGTGACTTTATTTGCCAGTATTTTAAAATGTTTTAGCTAGGAGATACAGAGTTTAATATCTGAAACAGGCTTCACACAGTAGTAGTCTAATTTTGCTTGCAGCGGATGGGGAGGGGAGGTTTCCACTGACTTCCAGTTGGACAGCTTTTTGCTACTGTAGAATTGACAAAGAGCTGCTTATGATGTGGTTAAACATATGTTTGTAACAGCAGTTTTAAAGTCACTGACATTTCCAAGCTTCCTATTCCATAGAAAAGATCTTTTGTAGGCTGAAATTTATGTATCTTGTTAGACTGAAGGCTTTTTGTTTTCTTTTTTCCAGTTCTTAATCACATCTATTTTTCTAACTGTGGAGAAAGTGTTGTTTCAAAGACTGGATTCCTTTTATGAATGTAGAGGCTTTCCAATGACTCTTTTTTTCAGGATTTTCTGCTTATAATTCAGATGATCTGCAAGCTTAATATCCATGTGAATAGATTTTTAAAAAAAAAAAAAAACCACACAGAAACATATAAGGAACAACATTATATCCCAGATTTTCTAGTTTTCTATGATGGTATCGCTCAATATATTTGAAAAGTGTGTGTATATGGGGTATTTATTTGTTGATTGATTTATTTGTAGTTTGGAAGGAATATATTAATTACTAGAATTTTACCTTAATACAGAAGACAGTGTTGTAGTTCTGGCTTTTGGTGGTGATACTGATCCTTAGGATAAAGGGAGAGACTGACCTTCTTTGTGCATGGAGTGAAATGCTGCTTGGTATTAAGGTTGGCCTTTAGTGTTTCTACCTTGACAGTATCCAGTATGAAGTGAAGTATAATGAATGGTTTTGTAGTTTAAACAATTACTTAGCTGTTTGGGATGTTGCAGAAGTCTGCAGCATTATCACCTGTTAGTGTTAATCCCTGTCAGCACTGTGCCTTTTCTAGGACACCGCTGCTGTGATGATACAGTTCTTAAGCATGCTTAATTTGTAGTACTAACTGCTGGGAACTGTTCTCAAACTTGTGCTGTTAAGGCATGCATCTTGTTTATTAAACTGCAAGGGAGTTCATAAACTAGTCAGCTGCCAGGCTGATCACTACTGGCCAATCATAAGCCTTGTATTTAAGGAGTAAATTAAAACAGTTCCTTACAAATTGTTGTCAGATTGCAGACCTACCAGATGCTGGATTTAATATGGCCTCTGGTTGCTTGTTATCTGTCTTTACTTATGGAATATTCAGTATGAATTATTTCTGGTTTAAATTTTACTCTGAGCACTTCACCCAGGATCTTTGGAAAACTGTATAAATTTGACACCAGGAGATAACCTTTCTCTTTCCTTCATTCTGCCATCACTGCCCTGCATTTTGGTTATCTTCTGCTTTTCACTTCTAGCTATCTTTGTGTGAAATCTCTAAAATAAAATGTCCTTTCTTCTAATTTGGTTAATTTTTGCTTGACATTCACCTCTTTCTTTCCTTCCTGTCAAAATAGCAACCTAACCACTGTTTCTAAGCCGTTTGAAGTAGGTTAAGTATTAAGTACACATCACTAACTGTTCAAAATCAGAGAAGACTGTGATTAGTGTTTTGTCTGTTGTTTTTTGTCAGTCCCAAGAATTATCCCTAAGTGTACCTTTTGGTTTGTTTTCAAATATTTTTTGTTGGTGTAATTTTGTTTATGCGGTACATTGTAGTGTCTGCATTTCACCAGAATCAGTGTCTGAATTCCTTTTTAATTTATCCACCTTATCCCTTCCCCCTCCTTTTGTTTCTCTGAATTACTTTTAAACAGATGCGCTCAGGTCAGCTTTCCCGAAAGCTGTGGGGATCAAGCAAACGGCTCAGCCAGATTTCGTCAGGAGAGACTGAATATAACACTCAAGATTCCAAGTGATTGCTGCTTCTACCTTCTCTCATGGATTCCAGAAACCCGTTTAATCTTTGGGTCACTTTAAATGTGTATCTCAACTTTCAGGGGCTTGATTCTTAAGTCTGTTGAAGATGAACCTATAGTAGAGGTATAGTAATAAGCATATGTACTCATGCAAGTTAGCTTGCTTGCATATTTTTCCTTAAGTGTGTTGACTTAGTCACAGCAGAATCCCTCTCTAAATAGCTGCTAAAACTGTGTTTCAGGAAAAAAGGAAAGGGGGGGGAAAAAACCCCAAACCTCCAAACCCAAGCTTGCTAATTGAATTTAAGATTAGTATTTGTTTTAAAGCTGAATAGGGCCAGATGCTCTTTGATCACAAAGATGACACATGGCTTTGCTTTGACAGCATTGTAATTCCCCAGCAGTAAATTAAGATTCTGGCAGTTGCAGTGGTTGGATTCAAAATTGAGACAGCTGACATTTATGACCCTTTCAATACATTTTTTTAGCCCAATGAACGGTTTATTGCAATTTGTTCCTGTAAATGGCTATTGCTATCTTCTTTTGTGTAGTTCCAGTTTTAGGCTGTTCTGCAAGGAACATCTGTGTTGCACTACTTGATTATCAGAAATTGTTTAAAGTACAGACATGAATAACTTCAAAGGAGTTGAAGGTGGTGAAGGAGCTGAAGGAGGTAGGAAATACTTGCTGCTGAAAATTATTTATATTGTTAAGTAGACTAAGACACACACCAAGAAATCCCATAATATATTTAATATCTTAAAGAAATACAGAGGAAGAATCAGTATCTATATTGGTCAAAGATCAATCTGCTTCATTAGTAAGGCAACTCCTACAAACAAAAGATGAATTTCCACTGCAAAATCATTTAAACAACATTGCAGCACAATTTAATTAAATAGTACCTGTTTGTTCCTTGGCTTGGTGTTCACCAAACCAGTTATTAGCCATATTTTTTTTCTGTAAAAACAAGCCAGGAAACAGATAATGTATCCATTTTCAAGATGTGTTTAAGACCTGGGAAAAGAAAATCAGATCCTTGTGTGTGCTATATCCAACAAAATAGTTATGGATTGTATGCTATATTTTGGAGAAGCCATTACTGAATTTTTTTTTGTTTAGCAATACGTGATGATGATAGAAGGGTGTGTGTTTTCCTATTGTTCTGACATTTTTATAATGTTAATGATTTAAATGATAAACCCCATACTGTTGGAAAAGCCTGGTGCTGAGGGAAAAATACAAATTTTTGGATCGGCATGCAAAGGTATGCGTGCATGTGTATATATGTGTGTATGTTTGTGTATATATATGTATATACATGTATGTATGTCTATTAAAAGGAGAAAATACCATGGGGTAAGGGGAGTATATAAGGCAGAGCTATAAGTGATTGTTAGCTGGTATGTTCCCTTTTGGCTACCCCTTCCTTCCCTCTACCATCACTTTTCGTGTTATTTTTATTTATTTATGGAAATGAATGTGTGTTGTATCTCCTATAAATGTTATCAAATATTCCCTGTGGCTGGGGAGCTGTTGAACTACCTGAGGAACTCCATAATGTATAATCTCATTTCATTAACTTTTAGCACAATATTTATTAACTTTGTTGAAATAGTAATATCTCCTTACCCCACAAAAGGATAATCTTTACAAATTCTGTTAATCTCATTAAAACTGTTTTCTCCTCCTCAATTTCTTTACTGGGGGGGAAAAAAAAAAATCCCTCTTAATGACCAATTAGTGTGCTGTGTAATGTTGCATTGCTTTATGTTAACTTTTGTAAATGAAATAATAAATCAGACTAGTGAACAAGTGGGTCTATGCATAGTTGCAATATTCTAACTAATCACTGTGACAGACTGGATCGTCTGGAAAGTTAGGAGAAAATAAGAATTATTTCCCCGAGTCATTTGCCTCGAGAGCATTAAATTTCCAAAAGTAGAGCAGTGTGGGGTTTTTTTTCAGACTCCATGTATATAAAAAAAAAAAAACCAAAACACCAACCACATCCTGTGTTTTAATACTATTTTTAATCAATTACCTATCCATTAAGATAGGTAATAAGATACTAAGGATACTCTGGAAGTATTAAGTGTGTATATGAGAATGTGAAGTATGTTTGTCCATTATGATTTTATGAAGAAAGGATTTCAGGGGAGCTCTTTTGAGAGTAGTTTAGAAGAATTTCAGCTCAGAATGTGAGATTTTTCTGTGTTATGGGAAGTTGATCAAGAACTCACTTGGGGCATTGAGTTGATGGGTTTTGGATGGTGGTTGTTTCTGTTTAAATGAATATATGAGGTTAAGTGTTTACTTGCAGGGGAAGGGGACAGGAATTTGTGATGTTTCGGGCTAGCAGAATCCAGTGGAAAAATTCAGGAGATAGGTCTTCTGTAGTGTTTGGTGAGAGCATCGTTTTCTTTTTGTCACTTACACAGAGGGGTTCACATAAGGGTTTGAAATGTCCTACTGTGGGCTAGGTATGTTTATACAACAGTTGAATTAATGTTTTTAGTAGTTTAATATTAAAGAATACTGAATACACTGTGTCCGTTTAAGTAAAATATAATGTAGTTGCAATAACTGGGGATGAAAGAGTTTATGGTGAAGAGCTTTGACATCTGAATATCAGCATCACTTCAGCGCATCACAAGCATTAGGTGATCTTCACAAATACCTGGGACAGGTTTAAATATGGACAGTTCTTGGGCTCTCAGGCTTGAGGCTAGTTTGTGCTCTGCACAAAGCAGTAGCAGCAGAATGAAGAGGGGGACAGGTGAGCTCTGAGCTGCTTCATGCTCTATGCAGAATGGCAACATCTGTTGCCTTTTGATCTTTTACCTGGTCCTTGAGGATGGGAGGTATACACCATCACATGCTTAGCGTTCTTGCCACAGGCCCTCTGGAAAGACCCCCTAGGTCTGAAGGTCTGCACTTTTGCCTTTATCTAAAAGCAGCTTTAAATAAAAGATATAGGTGGTGAGTGTGAGCATTAGCTGGTATGTTGTTTCTTTCAGTTTTAACTTATTTGTATAAGTCTTCTAAAAAGTAGAAAACAATTTTTTTGATCAGCTGTTTAGGTTGGTTGAATTGCAGTCTGTTATGCAGTGCACTGTGAATTAGTGAACTGACTTTCATAATCCTTTGATTTCCTCAAGTCAATAAAGCTTAGGGTCACATTTTGTTTTCATGTAGTATTGGTGAGGTAAGATTCTCCATTGTTTTTGAACTAAGATTTATTTAAGTGTAAAAAGTAAAGCTGTGAGATGGGAGAATTCTGATTAGGAATTCAGAATAAACAAGTCTTAAGTGACAGTTGTTTCATAACATTACACTTGTCAGGATCTTCTTGGTTGTATCTTCTTACATTTAATTTTTGGAACAACCCTAATGATATTTATCGGAGTTAAAGATATGCTTAGCTTTGAAGCTGAGTTAGTAAATAGGAGTGTAAATATATATCTAAAAGAAACTGAAAACTGACTCTCTTTTCATACCTGTATATAAATGAGATCAAGTAGTTAGCAGTATTGAGTAACTTCTCCCTAGCACAGTTTTGAACTTGCATACCAAAGGATGATATTTAGAAGACATCCCTCTTTCATTTCAAGTAAAATGTTTGTTAAATTTCTCTTTATCAATTTACTTGTAATTCTTGATAGTATTTTTAGTTGTCTTTTTATCTATAGTGAAGAATCTCATCTAGTCTGTGCAGTTTTTGTACTATATGAGCATTCAGAAAGTGAAATGTTTGCTAGTCAAGTTAGCATCTGACTTACGTGAATTATTCTGTATCAATATACTTGTTGTCTAATACTCGCTCATAGGATATCTAGAAACCACATCTTCTATCATCCATGTACCTTACCAACACCAGCACAAAATAATAATCCCAATCTTTAACTGCACTTTTCCTGATGGTTAATACACATTGTGGAAATTAGGTTTTAGGAAGCCTGTTTGATTTTAAGAAGAAAAAAGAAAAAAAAAAACCAATAACACACACATTACAATTGTTTTGCTAATCTGCAACATTTATATAAACAAGTTTTTTTCCCCTGGTATACCTTAGATCATGAATATTATCACAAAATGAGTTTATCAAAGTCTTTAAGGCTTTAAATAGTCTAATCAATTGGCTGCTTTATAAGGATCCTCTTTAAAGTTGTATTTCTGTGTCCTTTAAATGAAGTGCAAAGAACTAAGTTTCTGCACTGTCAGAATTCTGCGTGGGAGTGGTAATAGTCCTACATCAGTCTGCTTTAAGATAGTCCTGCAGGAATGATAAATTTATTTTTATTTGTAATGCACAATAATTAGGTAGGTCTTTTAACTCTTGCCTTAGTCCATGGGAGCTGTATACCTCATTTCCCTAGACCATGTCTCCCTCCTCCCTGTTTCCTCTGCAAGTTTTTCCCAATCTCAGTTAACAAAATCATTAGAAAATATACATACAGCAACCAAATGCTTCACAAAGCTTTTAATGTGTACGTGTATTTAGTTGAAAATGTGTATCTATATATGGATTATGGTATGGTAGGGAGCTTTGGAGCTAGGGAGGGGAGTAGAGGAGGTGTCAGCCTCTTTCTGCTCCTACATTGAGAGTCTGTGTAGATGCTCTGTATTGTCACCTGAAGGCACTCCTCTCTTCCACTGTTAAAGGCATCTTGCTGGCTAGGTTAGATGCTGAGGCTAGGTGCTGTGAATATTTTAATTTTTTTCCTTTCAAAGAATTAAAAAAAAAAAAAGCACATATGCACATATAAATGCATATCCTAATGTGAACCTAAAGCCTGACCTAATAAATACTATTAGATGAAAGCACTACATAGGGTTATCTTTCATGGGGTGGAAATTCAGGCATGTGCTTCCGTGCTTTCTAGAATGGGCTTTTCATGCTTTTGGTTTAAAAGCTATGTCTGTTTCAGCTGTAAACATGACACTTGTTAGTAGTCTCCTTTTGGGGAGAGTGATAGTTTTTGTGCAGTCATATGCATGTGGGTTCATTGTATACCAATGTTAGACTCAACTGAAGTGTTTGGAAGATGTCTTTCCTTCTATCCCAAGGAGCCAACTTCTCATTATTCCTAATTGCCCTTGTTAGTACATACTTTTAAAGGAAGCAAGGGTTTTCTGAAAAGCTACTGCAGTTTAAAAAAAAAAAAAAGAATTTGGTAAAATACTATTGTCCCCTTCTTCACTATTACAGTCATCAGGTGACTGAATGCAGAAATGCCTCTGAGTGGCAGCATAGCATGCTCTGCAGTTTGAGTCGAGGGCTATTCATCTTACTGCAGTTTTGAACACCCCATACGTGAGGAACTGCTTGTAGTGTTTAATCAAAGGTACCCTTTGTTCGGTTTTAATTCACCTTTTTGCTGTGCATCTGTGGAAGAAAACTGGTGTGTCTTTCTTTTAGTTACCATTTACCCAAATGGCCCAGATAAAAATAGGTGTTTCACTTCTTTTCTTCAGGAGAGAGTTCCTCCAGTTGTGTGTTCTTTCTATTTTTGTCTGCTGGGCTTGGGAAATTTGGCAAGCATTTCCAGAGCTTAGGTCTGATTGTACTCAGCACAGACACAATTTCATAATACATCTTCTGTCCCAGAAGCATGATTGTCAGTATAGATTATGGTTTAAAGCTGCTAAGGTGTTTTGAGATTGAAATATAAAACATCCAGCCATATATATCATAGACCTAACTGAACTTAGAGGCCACTTGTTTATTTAGCTTCCTATCTAGTCAGTATTTTCCTCTTGAGGGAGCCATATTTTGCCTTGAAGTAACTTTTTAAAATAAACTGAGTCTTGCACATGACTGTACTGCTTTAGTCATACGTAGCTATGAGCTGTTGCTTAAAGAAAGCCACAAGGGGAAAAAAAATTCAAGGAAAACCTGCAATATGTGTTCTGATTCAACCCTTCACTATGCAGGAGCAGCTTAAGATCAGAGAAATGCTGCTTGTAAGACTTACCCCCAGTTGGTCAGTGTTTTGATGGAAGCAGTGATGCTACTCAGTTTGTTTGATGAATTTTTACTAAAGCTAATGAGGGAGTGGAAACAAAGGCCTTACAGCAACAGTTAACCATGTCTTCTGATAATTCTTACAGATTGTGCAATTATGTGATTACAAATGGATTTTTAAATGCCAAAAAATGCCTTTTTAAAAGAGTTAAATGTTAGGTCTGAGGAGTGTTGGAATGATCTACTTTCAAAAATGAGCCTCCGGGCACTGTAATGAACTTGCTGTCAGTCTTCTGTGCAATATCTTTTTCCCTTCTGGGTGCTTTAAGAGTATACTGTATGTCTTATTTTGGTTTGATCAGTATATTTTAAGAGTGTGTATATTGGCTAATGATGGACTTTTTTTCTGTACAGCATGGTGGAAGATGCTTTAAAATTTTGCACTTTTCTAGAATTTGCAAGTTTGTAACCTGACAATTTTTAACATGCACACTTTTGTACATAATTAGCATTGTATATATTTAACATGAGTGAAGCAAATAAAAGTAATTGAATGCACAGCATCTCCCTTTATTACTAGTGCAAAAATGAAACTAATAGTGTGGGAGTACACTAAACAAACAATTCTTTCATTTAGCAGGTAAAGCTAGGCAGCAGGAACAGCTGACTGTGTCCTGTCTCAGTTGTGTTAAAGTAACTATTTTTTGGCGGGGAAGGAATCGGAGTGGATACATGAATGTACAGACCCTTTCAGACTATAGAATAGCTATGATTACTCAAGTATTGCAATAAAAATTGTCTTTTTGCTGGGAAGGAGAGATGTCTGAGACATGAATTAGGGTGGGGAAAAGAGCCCACTAATGCATATTTATCTTTATTTATAAAGATAAGGTTTATTTATAAAGATAAGGTTCTCCACCCACCCTGGGACTAGAAGCATCTCTTTCCTTCTTCCTCGTTGTCTTCCCATATAGTGACTTTTACTGCAGAATATGCGGGGCTACAGATTCTGGAGATTACTGTCAATCAGGAGGAAACTGAAATCTGTTCCAGGCTCATGTTCAGTTGGTTTCTTACCCCTGTAAACAAGACAAACGATGCTGTGAGCTTTAAGAAGAGTTAGGACTACTGTGCTTCCATCTGTTACTACGGATAGAACAAGGTATCCTTACTCGTAACAAGTGGAGTTTTGACTCCCTTCCTTGCCTGCATCACGGGACATACATATTAGATTTCTGAGTAAAGTTTGTATGACTAAAGATGTGAGTTCCCTTGTTGTAGAGTTCAACGCATTAGGGCCAAACTGGCATTCCCCTGGCCTTCAATAACAGAGCTGACTACTGGGGCTTTTTCTGTGAATGGTAGCTATAGTTCAGAATGGCATCATGGATGTAATGCCATAGCACTTACTGGGTAAGTTAGGCATGCTTTAGAATGCCATCATACTGCCTGCTCCTTCGGAGCATAAAGCAATACTCATGTTTTCCCCAAAGAGAAATGGAAGCAAGGGATTAAACAACTTCTGACATGGGGGACAGCCAGCATGTGCCAGGAGTCTGAGAGAAGTCTCTCTTCCTTTCTATCTGAAGGAGGATATCCATTCAAATTCAAATGAAGCATTTACCTCAAAAACAGACATGCTCCTGTCACTCCTTGCAAGGTGGCTTTGTCTCCTTCCACAAGCAGCATCGCACCTTCCCGCAAGCCCTAATGTAGGTGGAAACATTTAACATTATTTTCAAGCTATTGGAAAGGCTAGAATGCTTGTCACAAGCAGGCCAGTCCTAGTGCAGCTTGCCATGACTATAAACAAGACTTTCTTGCTCACCTATTTCTAACAAAGATGCTAAGACAAAATTAGGTGAGTTATCTTGTTTTAGAAGGTGGTTTTCTTGTTTATTTTATTTTTCCCTCCTAAAGAAGAAGAAGCTATTAAGGAGAAAAGGAAAATGTGGGTTTTCCACAATTACTTCTGGTACCACTATTCTTAGATCCAGTCTGGGCCAAGCAACAGCCAGCTGGGTTTGTTAGAGCACAAACTTTATACTCCATGCTCAAGCACAGGGACAAGAACCCCAGAGGTCCCACTTCCCCAGATAATGAACATACTACTGAATGAGCAAATTCAGAAACCTACAGAGATTAAAACAAAATGTAAAGTTAAGAATATCTGCAAAAAGATTAAAGGGACGTATCTTACCATCTGCATGCACACCACCCCCAACATATGACTGGTGGCCAGTGACTGGAAAGATCAGAGCTGCCTGAAATACAGCATTTAGCAGTTGGACTCCAAGCATCTAATACGCAGAATGCATTTCATTTGTTCTGTTCTAACCCATTTTTTGCAAGTGAGCAAAATCCAAGGTTGAAGCTCTTGGCAAGAATATAACTAGCCTTCCATGCCACAGTTCTGTAAGGCTTGTCAGGCAGGGGAACCCACACTGAAAGCTAGCAAGAATGCATTTAAAATGTTTACCATGCTAGAGCCATGAGCTTCCTGACTGGGAACTACTACTCACCAGAACTGGAGGGGTGTTTGGTTCTTCATGATATTGACGAATTCTTTCCTCTCTGGTCTCCTGCAATGACGAGTGTAGATTTAGCTGCCCAGCCAGTAACACTTGGAGCTATCCAAGTGGCAGGACACTGAGCAATTTCATAACATTAAACAAAGCAGGCACTTCCCCTCAAGCAGAATGCTTTCATTAGACTAATGTATTGAAGGAAGTGGCAGGATTGGCTTTGATAGATATGTCTTTTACCCTTCATCACTAGCAGCAATTGCTGTAGGTTGATCAAACAGAACTCACACAATCCCAACCATGAAAAGCCTTAAAACTTACTTCTACTCAATTCATCCAGGTTTGGTTTTGGGTTTGTGTTTGGTTTGGGTTTTTTTTTTTTTTTTTGGTTTTTTTTTTTTTTTAAATACTGTCTCTGTATGCTCACCCTCAGAACAAGAACACTGAAGAAGGTGGTGGAAGCAAATGCCTGAGATGCCACCTTCGTGAAAGAGGGCAATGAACCATGGATTTCCACTGATTAAATATCTGCTTGTTTGTCCTCAAGTAGTTATTACACTGAAGAATTTCCTTCTGTGAACAGCTCTGCTATGTTTCCTGAGGGTTTGCTGCTGAACTGAGCAATGGTAGTTAAAGAAATCCAGCCAGAAGGATTTGTTGGTGAGGAAACACAAGAACACAGCAGGGACTTGGTACAGCACAGAGCTTCCAGCCTCCTCTCGGAGAAATAGCGAAAGTTATTTATAGGGAAAAGACTGCGTGCTTATCTAGCGACAAGCTGACTAAATGAGTACCTACAACTTTATCTAAGTTCTAGAAGTGTACCTTGATCCTCCATCTCTTCAGTGTTCCCTAATTCTTAATACTTCCTCTACCTGTGAAGAAATTTTGATTACAAGGAGGAAAGTATTTGGGCTGTTAAAAGATGCACTGTAGAAACTGTTCCCTGAGGAATTAGCTGACAGGCTATTCCAAGAATGAGCTCCTCCATACAGTGGAGATACCAGTCTTTGTGCTTGATGGTTAAAGTGTTTTCTTTCAGCTATACTAGTACATGTGCTTGCTCAGTACTGGACATTACAGGGTGTGCTCTCTGCAGGGACACTAGTGCCTGGGTATCTTCTTACACAAGAAGGTTGCATGCAATCGCAAGGTCTCCCTGTTCTGATGGTTCCTTCAGACCTTTAGATATTTAAGCCTCTTAATGTCTAAGTTAGGTCTTCTCAAGCAGCAGGCAAGACACACTGTGGCAGGACTTTCAGAAATACAGTGTGTTGCATCTTAACGTTTCAAGTTTATCTTTCCCCCCATGCCCCTCCCTTTCCTCTCCCCAATTCCATGCCAGGTATGAAGCAACAGTATTTCAGACATTGCACAGCTTCTGTTTATGAAAAACACTTTGTTCCACCTCAGTAATACTGTTGCCAGCTCCTCTTCCCACTCAAAGAAAAGCTTTAGGAGGGAGTAAAATGTTACTGCCTCACTGGCATTTGCAACTCCTCTAGGGAGCAGCTGTTAGACATTCTATAGCTTTGTAAAGCTTCGCAAATGCATGCTATCATTACACCTCTGCACCCTGGCTACTGTGTTAGCTCTGGCATGTTTTACTTACACCCATGTGAGTGCTTTTAGCATCTGGGTCCAGGTAGTGGGGGTTAATATTAAAAGGAACTAAATCTAGGGCCTGCAGGGAAGGTGGATAAACAATTGGCATGTCATTGGTAGTATTGATGCTGACAGTAGCAACATTAGTTCCTGCACTGGATCCTATGTAAGGAATTCCATCCTGAAAGACAAAAGCAATGATTAATATGCAGTATCACAACTAGGAACTGCATTTTATAGCATCTTCTATCAATCTCAGAGACTCAGCAATCAGATCAGACTTTCTCACTCCTAACTTTACAGGTGAAAAGCAGAAGAACAAGAATTCAGGTTTTGAGGTGGGCAATAGTTTGTATATGTCATGGTTGTCAGAGAACTAGCTGTTGAATGTCCTGTACTCACAACTCTGTGACCTCATCACAGGAGAGAACTGGTAACATTGTCAGTGCATATATTGGACTTTGCTATTAAAAGAAGAGAGACTTCTCTGCATTGCAGTTACAGGAAATACCTGAACTAGCTTTTAACTAGCTTCTGAAGAGAGTAGACCATCTGAAGCTGAGTACAATGTTGCCACAGCATCAGCTTACCAGTACCAGGACCAGCCAGTTTAGCGCTAGTTTAGGTATTATGTACATAGTACTGTATACTATGCTGTACATGGACGGATTCCACACAAACATGCAAGTATATGGATAATGCTGAACAATTTGTAAAAATAAGCTATCTTGAGAGAACTGGTGCTAATATAACCAAATAGCTATCTGGACTTCACTGGGACTCAAACATTTTTAGGCATTGAATTTCTATATATAAAGACAGCCTAGCTAACCTTTCTTCTTGGCAGCTGGCCTTTTCAAACATACTACGCTTGCATAAATCTGTCTGAACTCGTTTGCAGTTCCACATTGCTGGGGGAACACCTTGCTTTTGTTCTCCATGGATGGTGTGTCTTTGCTGTGCCTTATGAGATTAACCAGCCAGAAAATGTTTGAGTCCCAGTGAAGTCTAGATAGCCAGAATGGGGCTGCTGATTGGAAGGGCTCAATGGCACTCATACAGCTCAATTCCACGTCAAAGAGGTACCCAAGGTAATTACACCACTTTCAATGTCAACAGGACATTATCTAAAAGGCATGTATGGATCCAACTCTATTGTCAGTTTATGAGCAGACAACCTGCAACCTGAACACATCTGTATCTATTAACAAGATACAAAGTGGACATTTCAAGCTGAAAAACAAGGTTTCTGGACAGAGATCAAATCCTGCACTGCTCTCCATTGGTATTTTAAGTTGGGGGGTTTACTTCTAAGGTACTACGCAGCATTGTACATCCCAAGGTCTTGCAGTCCCACATCTGGGAAACTGCCCTAGAAAGACAGATTGCTGACCTTAGTCTTTTCAGGCTTCAACGACTAGTGACAGCCTTATTTGGCCACAGATTTCAGTTCACCAGGTTGCATGAGGTGGCTCAATATTTGAAGCGTATTAAAAACAAAGATGTAGAATCAACTTGGATTTGTCTGAATAAAAGCTTATCCATGAGATCCTGCCATTCAGACTTGGCCCAAGTCCTGTGGTTTTTACCTCAAGAACTCTTTTCCTGATCTCCTGTATCAGACTGTTGTCATAGAGAGCTTTCAGGAGACGGAATGTGTTCCCACCTCCTGCAGAAAGAGAGTCCAGCTTATTTAACATGCTTTCACTACCAGTTTTAATTGAAGTCTTTACAAACTTGGCAGGCTCAATGATTTCTGTGCTCTATTCAAGGCATTATCCTGCTTTGAGCAGCAGAAAACCAGAAGCTTCAGAAGAATGGTCATTGGGCAGGCCACGGGCTTGTGCCCCGAGTCCTTCTTGTAATACTGATGCTGGGTGTTTGATAGTGAACTCTTCTAATACCCAGGAGCATGGTATTAGGATTACGCTCAGTTTGAGCACAGGAGCCCTGAGTCTTCTCAAACTTGATATAGTGATGATACAGCTGTGATGATCATGTTTTTAATGCTGAAGTACTCTTCAAATGAATAATTTGAAACCTACTGGAGATGACGTTCCGTTAATAAATCTCTCCTGCTTCCCTCCCCACCATGAAATGTAGGGTCTTACTCTTCCCAACTCAAGTACCGTTCTCTATAGTTTCTAATAATTGCTAGGCCCAGCTTTTTCATTGTTGTCTCTATAGTGCCAGCACTGAGCAGGACTAATCCAGTGCCCTATTTAAACCCTCATCAGGGAGCATGAAGTAAAACTTACCGATAAATATTGCCTCAGATTTCCTTACAGCTTCCACTGGATCACAGGATTCATGAATGCTGTCCAGCCCATAACCTTAAATGAAAAAGTATTTACCTTTGCCACTTCAGTTTGGCAGAGGAATGTGGCATATTCAGTCCCTTCCTGCCCCCACCCCCCTGACCGCAAGCCAAATGGCTTGCCAGACAACGAGGGAAATTTCAGAGAACTCTGTAACATGAAAGAGTATACATCCTACATTAGTGCAGGCTTCTGCATCCAGCTGTACCAAAGGAAATGTTTGCTTCATGGATATACATGCTCAGTGTCTAAGAGCAGAGCATTTCACTCAGCAGGTGCAGGCTGTGGCACAAAGTCCTGCTGAGCATTACCAGCTAACTAGAAAATAAAAGAAGGAAAAAGCTGTCAGTCTTCAGCTTGGCTGTGAGTCTGAACAGGATGTGCCATCATTGGTCTAGCATTACTAGTGCAAATATCTGATCTGAGGGGTTTTTTTTTGTAATGGTTAAAACGTCTGGCTTTGCCAGATTTGCCTTGCTGGGGTTCACTGAGTACAGGAAATGCCGGTAGAGCCCCAAGAACATGGACATTTGATAGCAGCAACATTTCTGCAAGACAAGGAGCAAAGTGCGCTGCCCAGGGAAGTGAGTAATGATTATTACTACAGTAACAGGTCCAAAGATATCCTGAACGGTGACAGATACTAGGTGGAGGTGTTGCTGTAGGCTGCTCTGGAAAGATCTTTGCTTGAAGCAAAGCTCAGTTGCTGTTGATCATGGAAATACCTGGCTAGTTGAAGTGCATTATAGTAACGGCCTTCACTTAACACCAGTAGCTGTGCAGCTTGAGCAGAAGTTTAAGATATATGGGAAGAAATGTTCCCCTGTGTGATTAAGGAGAATAAAAAGATGCCACTTAGTATTCAGGAACAAAAACTTCCTCCCTGCAGTGGTTGGAAGTGTTTGCAACAAGATTTCTTCCGGAGGCCTCTAAAGGAGCTACTTCTAGCTGGAAGTTAGCGAACAACTCCCTGCTGCCGTCGCTCCCATTGCTGAGCGTAGCTTGACAGCGTGCAGCTGAGCTAGCCGAACCCCTGTC